CCCAGACACACCCTTAAAAAAGTGCTTTTTTAAGTTTCTTATAGTGTGCGTTGAGAAAAATCTGTGGGAGCCTGCAAAAACTTCTCATGAAAAGGACTTATTTGGCAAAAAGACTTATAAACTGCCGAACGGATGTGCTGTGAAAATGTGAAACAGTCATTATTAAACATTACTCTATTAAATACTAGCCTGTAGTCATTATTAAATACTACTAACCTAACAGAAGAATATAGTAATAATGGAAAAAGAAACAGGAAAACTGGTTATATAATATTACTTAAGTGGCCTAATAATAAATTAAAAAAGATGCAAATATAAAATTCCATAGAGTTAAAATATTTAGCATATCGGTACGACTGTGCTGCTGAATTACCTGTACGTGCAGTTCAATGGTGACATTAACGCCATCCGCCATTGGTAACAGATGAATGTCATAATCATTGAGCAACACATTGATTATGCGACCAAAATTCATCGAATTCCTAAAATTCAAGCTTTTTTTTTCAATGAAAAGACATGAAGCATAACCCGACTACAGCTTATATTATCATAAATAGATACTGCCCCTCAGAGTGTCTGGTATAGGCAGTCAAAGCCCGCCTAATTCAAATATTTATTTCTGTTGAACATCGTTTGTCATTCTTTTCATTGTCGGAAGATTAAATATTAGATTTAAAAGCCATGCGTTGTATGAAATTTAAACGTAGGCTAGAACGCACCAGGCCTGCCGGCAGGGTCATGCCTTTTTGCAATAAACTTGAAGTAATTAGGTCGTTAACTGCATGAATGGTTGCTACTTTTATTTAATTTATATATTCATTACCTAATCAAAGTAAGTTTTGCATGAAGGAAAATGAACAACTTCGGTCAAGCGAACGTTCCTTGAGATTAACCTAGCTGTTCAATTAGCGGATTTCCCGGAAATTTTTGTGCTCGTGCGTGAGAACCACGCATACGTGGAGGCTGAGTTCGAAATCTTTAAGTTTTACGTAGACGCGGAACATCTCTTAAAATTTAGTAGCTTTTCAGCTTTCCTGGCTCCAGAGTTAGCTGTATTCCCCAAAACTTTCAGATGCACGCAAGCAGGGCCTAGTCGCGCATTTAAGGTGATAAATTGGACCTGGGATGGCACTTGATCGGGGAACCCATCAGCAAAATTTCGGTGCCGAAGCTTGCTTGGTTGTAAAGTTGATCCACAGGATAAACACAAACACATACATACATACATACAAATGTGCACACACACACACACACACACACACACACACA